TATGAATGATCTTGATATATATAGTACCATGTAGCTGCTAAAACCATAATGTCAGAACATATAGCACACAGTCTTGTTATAATTTCTACTGAAAAAAATATGTAGATAATGAGTATACCACTTTAAAGAACCCAAAAAACATACAGCTGTAAATTTATTAGTAAGATGCAATTTCATAGCAATAAACTTACCTAGTAAGTGTATTAGCACTGATATATACCAATAGTATACAAGTGGTATTGAGTGGAAATGCTTGGATTATAAATGAGATTTGAATACATAAAAACTATACAACTCTATCAAATTCATCAAAATGATTAAAAAAATAGCGATGCATACCATATTAGTTCCTATAGGCACTGCACCAAATAGAAGTGTAATAGCTGCTAATTTTATATTTTTGCCACTGATAGCATATGCACGAAGACCAGATATTACTGCATAGTAAGTCAACTTTACATACTTGATATAACAGCTAGATATCTACACTACCTGCTACTAGCAGAAAATTAGATAGGTTGACCACATATGTTAATATTGACCCAATTACACAAGCACTGCAAGTTGGCTATTTAGTTATACAAAGATATCAGCTATGAGAAATACAAACCTGATCTGTAAATATATTGTAAGATATCAGTAAGCAAGCCTATACTTGAGCTTACTTGTGAATTGTACAATGGCATGAACTGAAATAATTCAGTTATGATAAAACTAACAACCATCAGTTTGTTTATAGCAAACAGAATAGTGCTCCATCCATATTTTCTTGAGTTCCAGAACAATTTGATCTCAGTACTAAATGTTAACATTGAATCATATACTGCAAGGCCTGTATTGTTTTGTGTTAGTATATCAGAATATAAAATAATCTTGATACTTGCTAATGGCAGATGCTATCACTAAGGTACCAGTGAAACTTGAATAAAGTGAACCAAGATACTAGTATAAACTAACTGAATACATACATTTGTGAGTATTCCTCTGTAATTTCTTTCTCAGGTGACAAGCTAGACATAGTGGTAGCACTGGCAGGTAGTTGTTGAGTAGATCCATTTGCACAAACAGGTCTTACATATATATATTTCTAATGAACATCTCAACTCACTTGAATATAACATTGATGTAGATTTACTCTATATATAGCATGGCTCTATCAGAAACAGAAAGCTACAGGCTGATGGTAGCAACTCCTGAATGTTTCTATCCTTACAGCCACAACCAACATAATTTACACACTGTACATCAGCCAACTAGAATTGAGATTATATGGTCTATTGTCAAGTACATCAATGCTTAGATGAGCTGATGAGACAATTGAATTTCTATACCAATGGCAGTGCACCACATATAGCCTTAACTCTCAGTTATATAGCTTGTTATACTTGGAGACTATAAATGTAATTGGAGCAAGTATATATATTGAGTATTGCTGCAATATCTCAACAAGGTGCACTAGCAAGACAAACAGTGCAGACACATAATCTGACCCAATAAATGGATTCACCATCAGTTGCGTAGTTGAATCAAGCATAAACCCATCAAATTGTCGCGAGCATGCAGCTCCAATGACTTAATGATTGCTAAGCTCAGGAGCCTCACGATGGTCAGGATCACATTTGACAGGGCACATCTATCAGAGAAGGCTGTACTTAGTCCTGTTCAAGCATCATAGATATTGGTCCATGGATGCAGACACACCAGAGCCACAGTGGAGACGTGAGAATTAGTGACAACATTCAGATGGCATAGCAAATAGAGATGGCGGCTTCAATGTGCAACAGGTCTTAGTTCTCATCTGAAAACAACTGAGGGGACACCTCACAGACACAGAGACGAAGCTCGGGAACAAGCCGAGGACGTGTGCGCTCCGCAGCTGATCACTCGTTTCTTGTTTTGAAACTCCAGACATATCCGAAGTCTCCGACTTGGATTTGACCAGGCAGGTCTGCCCACCATTGACTGGTACGCAGCGGTATATCCATATCAGAATCAAACGAAGAAGTGAGTATGGCCCTGAGCAGACAGCCATTGCATAATCGTCAGAGTGGACACGAGATCCATACTGTAGCGCACTCACGAGATGTTCACTTCCGCATTTCATGAAACTTGGATCACGACAAATAGTTGACCAACCTATCATTACAGCATAGATTGTTTTCGGATCTGTACATCACCCAAATCGGACCTCTCCAACCAAGATGATATGTTCGTATACCAGGCTGTGCTCTAGTAGCGAGCTCAACATTTATCACTGCCTTCGACCGCGTTCAGATCAGTGTTGAGCCCAGCAAAAACAATGGGCAGATGCTTACCATGCAGAATCTCAGGCCGCTCATCCGCATAGTCTCGTGCTGGCGCTGCTGGAAGTCACCAGTGCACACAACCCGACCTCAGCTCACATCCGAAGGCGCCGCAGCCGCCGCACCAATCCTGCATGTGAAACGTCTCTCCAAAGCAACTGAGAAATCTCATAGATATATACCTAGTAACAGAAGTGTCTCCAGCGCCACGCGCACGGCCATTAATTCTGCTGGCGCAGGGAGAAGAGATCGAGGAGGAAGTGTCAATTACGCCGTACACCCCGAGTCACTATGTTGGCTCATCTCGCACGATCTTGAAGTTTGTCTCTCGACTCGCTCTCAATTCGCCATGCCTTGCTGCATCTTCGCCTAAAACCACGATGAAGCCATGCAGCAACTTGCTGATCGCCCGTCACGAAGCGGCATATACATTTTGAGGGTACTTTCGTCCTTGTGCACGCAACATCGTATATGGGTTCGAGGAACCCACTTTGCTCATCTCACGAGAACGGCGCGGCCGCGACTAAGAGCAGTCTTTGCCTTTATTATCAAACATGGCGAGGCTGTGAGCATTGAGAACCGTACTGCAATGCCCTCCAATCGAGTATGAAGCGGATTGTGTACTTGGTGCGCATCCTTATAACGGCGACTCACTGCACATCCGAACGAACGATCATCCATCCCCCACGCGCTCCACTCTCGTAGCATTATCGCTGGCGCACCAATGCACAAGAACCAATCCCCCTGTCCAAACGTGCTCGACCGCGATGACCTCTCCTCAGACACTAGCGCAAGTTCAAGGTCGAGATTGAGCAATCCTGCAGACGACGCTCCGTGTCTTGCGCGGCACGGCGGCGTATATTGCTTGACAATTCCGAGAATGACAGAGTGTGCACTGCGCGAGCTGAACGTGGACGGTGTTCGTCGAGATGTCGGATGGCTTCGTATGCTGAGATGAGCTCCTGTCCGATCAACTAGAACAAGATAGAATGCAGAATACAAATGGACGCTATTCCCCGCGCGCTCTGAGTTGAATTTCGGCATCATTGTCTAGATAGCCACCCGGAGCGTATTCACGCGGCCAACGTCGACAACTCGTCCGCCTGCCAAGCTGAGGCGGACGCGGAGCGATACGATGCAGGTTCCCAAGTCCGTATCTACCCCGCGCTTTAGAGACGACGAGAGACGACGGAAGCTGGAAATTGGCCCGTCGTATGCCGAAGGAGGTGGCTGTGGGACAGCATCCCCCCAGCTGGAGCTCAACGACGGCTGAAGGGTGCCCCGCCGGACGCAGGCGCCAGGCCGGCCGTGCCTGAAACGCACGCGGTGCGCATCACGATCTGTCGCCCAGAGTCTGATGCGCCTGCGCCCCTGGTCACGGTCCCGATTGTCTTGCGCGGCGCCCTCTCACTAGTGGTGGATCGCTGGAGCTGGCAGCGGCGGTGGCGAGGGAGGGTCAACGACGGCCGAGCAGTATTTTTTCGTGGCCCAGTCTGGTCTCCTAACCGTCCAGTGTTGGATCCCAAGGGTTGGCCGCCTGCATGTCGCGGGACTCCTCGGCACGTACGGCGAGCACCAGCGTCGAGTGCCCTGCACGGTGTCTCTGTCAAGCGGGTTCAGGATGGGGGTGGGAAGTGGGGCAAGCAGAGCGGGGAACGACATGTCGCCTGACATCCATCTCTTGAGCTCCCAAGTCGGGTGGTGCTATCCTCCGAGAAGGACCAAGAGATAGGTAAATGCGTGCTCGCAGCGGATCGTTCGAAGTACGCACTTGACCGATGCGATCAGGCCGCACCGCTGCCGTGGAGAAACATGGGGAGCCTGGAGAACCTGAGCACCGGGTTCCCCGTCCGGTAGCAGGGCCCGAGCTCCCGTCCCAGTAAGTAAGTGCGACGCACGCTGTAGCATCAGACGCACGATAGCGCACTACATAGGCTTGATCGGAGCTAGGGCGCGGATGCTGTCAAATTTACGTCTGGCGAGGGGCGGGTCTCGGCCGCGGACCACAGAACAACGCAGTCACGCACAGAAGCTTCGTGGAAGCACAAGGACGCGCGCAGGATGCTGTTGGGAACAACGTTTGCCTGAGACGGATGCGTCTGAATGCCGACGCAAAGTGCAATCGTACAGGGTGCTGTGCCGGTGGAGACAATCAGCGGCCGCCCATGTCGCCAGGGAATCAAGGACGAGCGCACCTGCCACAATGTGGTTTTCCGCGTGTCCTGAATCGTCTTTTCGAACAGAGACCACCGTTTGCAGTGTTGTGGAGCATCGCGCCCTCATTCTTAAACAAGAGCGCGAGATACTATGCATCAGCCCAGGGACGTCACAACCTGCAGCGGCGCGCATGAAAGGAGCTTTGTTATGGGTGGTGTGATTCTAGATATGTCTTCCAGGAAGACGGTGACACGGGCGTGTGATGCCGACAGGGGCTCCGTTGACATGTTGCGAGCATGACGGCGCCGGGCATGGACAGACGGCAAAGTGCAAGCAGAAGGATAGGGTGCAGCGACGAGCCACCACGCGCCCCGCAACAAAGCTCAAATGAAAGCAAAGTGGAGCGGGGCTTCCCCGCCCTGAGCACCACCCACAGCGTGCTCATGTCTGCATGCAGTGTGTCCGGCGCAAGAGGCCTCCGCCCGAGGATTCTGCGCACATGGTGTTGTGACTGGGAGGGGATGATAGATGAGGAGACGGGGTCGCGGACCAGTTGGAGGGATCAACGAGAGAGCTTCCCCGCCAGCGGCTGCAGCGACGTTGAGACGAAGGCGATAGCAAAGTGATTCCCATGTGGTGACGCCTGCGGGTCTCGTAAGGCTGAACAGACACCGAGGAGGCGCCTTGTGACCTAGATGGCTGCCCGGTGCTAGTGCGCCCAGTAGAGAAAGCTAATGGGACGGTAGTGCGCGCACAAAGGAACGACCGCGGTCGTCGAGCTCGAGGCTTCCCGGCGGCGGCACGCATCCGCGACAGTGGCGGGCGGTAGCGGCCAGGGACAGGGCACGGGATCTGCCGAGGGGGAGCTGATCTTGGAGGTGGCAGATGGAATGGACGCTGATCTGGCGGGAAGGACGAGCTGGCCTCCGGAGCGGTCTATATGAAGAAGTCGCCCATTTCGCAGAGTCGAGGACGCCTGCTCCTTCTCCCGCAGGTGTTAAAGGACCACTCCAGCGATGGATCCCGCCAGCCCTTATTACGGCCGCCACGCCGGACCCGCACCCGAC